TTCTAGTTAAGTCTCTAGAAAATACGTTTCATTATTTTAAGTGTGAGTTTAAGTGAAATAAATAATGTGGTGTTTGTTACCATTGTATCATTTTTTTTTAAAAAATGACTTTTGTATTTTAAAAATTTTATTAATTATGTTATATTGCAGTTTTTTAAAAAATATTGGTATTTTATACAAACCCAAACATAAAAATTTAAATATAAACAAGTAAAAACGTTTCAGTCGGTATAAACCGATTGAATTATACCCTGCACCTTTCGTTGTTGTATAGCAATTACTCCAACCTGTGAAACCATTCTATAGAAATTTCACGGATATGTCTGATTTATAACTGGACACACAACTGCCAAGTTTCATGAATCTGACTTTATTTTTCCAAATATTTAAACTTTTGGACTTGTATGGGAGCTACTCGTAGCTGAAGAGCAATTCAACCAAAACTTCAGAAATATATCTGACCTATAACTCGACACACAACCGCCAAAGTTTCATGAATCTGACTTTATTATTTTTGAAAATATTTAAAATTAGCTTTTGGAGTTGTATGGCAGGTACCCGAACCTGTCAATCAATTCCTCTAAAACTTCAGAAATATATTTGACCTATAATTGGACACACGACTGCCAAAGCTCATGAATCTGACTTTATTATTTTTCCAAATATTTAAAATAAGCTTTTGGAGTTGTATGGCAGGTACCCGAACTTGCCAAGCAATTCCATCAAAACTTCAGAAATATGTCTGACCTATAATTGGACACACGACTGCCAAAGTTCATGAATCTGACTTTATTATTTTTCCAAATATTTAAAATAAGCTTTTAGACTTGTATGAGAGCTACTTGAACCTGTCAAGCAATTCCACCAAAACTTCAGAAATATATCTGGCCTATAACTCGACACACAACTGCAAAGTCTCATGAATCTGACTTTATTATTTTTGAAAATATTTAAAATTAGCTTCTGGAGTTGTATGGCAGGTACCCGAACCTGTCAATCAATTCCTCTAAAACTTCAGAAATATATTTGACCTATAATTGGACACATGACTGCCAAGTTTCATGAATCTGACTTTATTATTTTTCCGAATATACAAAATTTGCTGTTGGAGTTGTATGACAGCCACCCGAACCGGTGCAGCTATCCCATTATAATTTTTAGAGCATGTGTAGAATATAATTGGACACATGTATACAAAATTTTATATTTATAGCTTTATTAGTTTTTGAAATATTTAAAATAAACTCTTTGAGTTGTATGGCAGCTACCCGAACCCGTTGTCCGAATTAGTCCAATAACAATAGGGCTCGTCCTTGGCACAAAAGAAAAAACTTGTGAAAGTTTGGTGTCGATTGCATTATTCGTTTTTGAGTTATCGTGCGATCGGACGGACGGACGGACGGACGGACGGACGGACGGACAGACGGACATGTCTAAATCGACGCAGAATTTTACGCTGAGCAAGAATATATATATATGTCCATACCGCAGATGACTCCTTCAAGTAGTTACAAACTCCATACCAAAGTTAATATACCCTTCACGAAGTGCAGGGTATAAAAAGGGAAAAAATATATATGTACGATAAAGTGCTATTTGATTAACATTAAAAAGCAAAACGATAAATATTTGGACTTAATAAAATTTAAAACGTTAATGTAAGAAGTTTGAAAATTTCGGAAATACTAAATGAATGAATAATACATATATAATATAAGTTGCTACCTTATATGGTGACTTGCAAGTACTAAAAACATTTTAAGTGAGTTTAAAACATTTTATATATTTTAGCCATAAAGCTCTTCTTCTTGTTAAGATTTTTGTAATACTTACATTTTATCAAATTTGGTAAGTATGAAAAAGCGTCACATGATTAAGAATTTCTAATTTCATTATGCAAAAACAACATTATACACTTTTTACACGGCAGCTTTAAGTAAAAGAAATAGAATTTTATTATTTGGAATTATTATATTTTATTATTATTTAATATAATAAAACTGGTGTCAAGCATTATGGTTTCAAGCATTTATAGGTGGTTTCAAATTGTTCCGGAAGTTTTAAAATTCAGCTGTCAAAGCAACATAATCTAAGGGCAAGGAAGATACAATACATCTTCGACATTTTTTAGGCAAAAAAAATACCCTTGGCTATCACAATTAACAAAATTGGTGATCCCATCTTATATGACTCCAAAATTATTTTATCTAAACAATAATATGTAGATTTTATTGTTATCATTAATATTTATTTATATCGTTTGATTTTAGAAGTCAAATTTGATTAAATTATGCTGTAATTGTAAAAAAACATTGATGCTGTGCGACTTAAATCGAGGTGTGGTTTATAATGAAATAGTAGTGCTCTGTAGTGTTGACATAAAATAATCGTTACACTTGGTATAGATGTTATATTTACCACATTCAGAAACTTATATAGATAAACTTATATTGAAATAAAGAAACTATTATGAATACCCTTTATTAAATTTGACATAAAATTGATGATTTGACATGAAAAATAATATCAAAAAAGCTCTTTAATAAGTGGTTTAAAGTTTAAAAAACATGCATTTGATTTTATGAATGAATTAACATTTTTAAAAGCAATACTATGTATCTTTGTATTACATTCATACTTTTAAAAATTTTTTGTTACAGTCCTCCTAAATTAATTTATATTTTGCTTAAAACTAAACTTAAACTTTCTGCTACGAGTATATTTATCATTTTATTATATGTACTCGTATGTATTCATAATGTGTATGATTCAATATTGTAACCATAATACATTTTCATATGAACACATTATATGTTGTTAAAAATCTTAAATTTTTTTATTTTAATTATATTTTTTTTCGTTGCACTTACGCATAAACTCTTCTTATAGAAGTTCATTCTAATTTGAAGTTTACTCTCAATATTTTTTTTTTATAACCAATTATTTAGAAACAAATGTTTAGTGACAATAAGTTGTGGTAAAACAATTTAGTGTGCTCGAAAGTTAATCACGCATTTATAAGTTTCTTAAACCTGCCGTTTTTCACTTAAGCGTTCAAATTTTTACTGAACTAAATAATAGATAAAGTCACATTGCTTAAAAATTATTGCACTCAGGAGTTATTTGCGTTCTTAACAATTTTGTATTCAGTAATTAAATATAATTATTGTGAGTATCGAATCACTGATAGTGATATTTATTCTAAAAACTTCAAAAATTTTATTATACACACGATTCATTCGTACAAATTGGTTTGGGTTTACAATAATAATTTTTCAAATTTATTCGGTACTCAGAATAAGCCCTAACAAAGAATGTCCCAAAATTTACGCAAGATTTGAATTTTGTGCCATCTGTAAATTTACGCAAGATTTGAATTTTGCGCCATCTGTGCGGTAATTTGTTTCGAACAAAATAAAACACAGCGTTACAGCTGACTGTTCAGGGTTAGTAAAAATGGAGCGCTACAAAAAAAAACAACGCATTTTTAATGTTGAGCAATATTTCTAAATAATAAAAGTTTGGCAGCAACAGTTTGCAATTTTTGTACAAAATATGGTCGGAATAGTGCTTTAATTTCATCAGTTGTAAGAGTGCCCGTCCTTCAACAAGTTATTCAACACAAAACGTTAAAGCAGTTCGGGAGAGTATGGCTAAAAGTTCAGGAATATCAATTCGCAGCCGTGGTCAAGAATTGGACGAGAAGGTCTCTACAGCGTATTCTAACGAAAGATTTGCATCTTCATGCTTACAAAGTTCAATTGACCCAAGAACTAAAGCCTACTGAATGGATTATGGAACAACAAAAAGCGGATGCTGATTTTTCGAACAAAATCTAATGAGCGATGAGACTCATTTTCATCTTAATGGCTTTGTTAACCGATAAAATTGTCACATTTAGGGCTCAGGAAATCTAAAAGTAATTGTTGAGAAGAAAATGCATCCACATGTTTGTTGTGGATTTTGGGTTGGAGGTATTATCGGTCCATTCTTCTTCGAAAATGCGGCTGCTCAGATAATAGCGGTTAATGGTGCTCTCTATCGCGACATGATAATCCAGTTTTTTGTGCCAAAATTGCGAGACATGAATGTCAAAAACACGGAGCCGCATGGTATACAGCCCGAGAAACAATTCAATTAATGCTTGAGTCATTGTTTCTACGTATGCAATTTAACCGTTTTGGCGATCAGAATTGGCCGCCCAGAACATGCGATTTATAAATTCAAACAAATAAATTCTATTTTATACGACCATTAATTATCTTTATTTTGCTTTTTGGAATGATAAATAGTCTGTACAATATGAAAAATTAAATATAATTTTCTAACTGGAGTAGAAAATTATTCATAAATCACTCGTTATGTGCATGTTTAGTCAAAAAATAATAATAATAATCATCGATACTGGCTTTTCAATGTTGGTCAAAAATGTGCTCTATGGTTTTCTTAATTTACCTTTATTTCTGGTTTATTCTTTTCTTTTTTGAATAGTAAAACAAATTCATTATTACAAATAAATACAAAATTTTAAATGTTCATATACATATGTATGTACATATATACTTTTATGTATAAATCATGAATTTTCAATTTGGTGGATTCGTTAAGTTACCGTTGCTCTGTACCCACTATTTCCCATTTTAGTTTTATTATTGTATTTACATTACATAAAAACAGCTTATTTATTTACCCACCTCAAAATTTTTTAATACCATTTTGTTTGGATATTAGGTTTTTAATGAAAAAAGCATTATTATAAAAATGTTATATTTATGTATTTATAAGAAATGAAATACCCAAACTATAAAAACAAAAAAATACAAAAAAAGGAAATTGTATTTACTTTGTAGAATCTAGTTGAATAAAAATTGTTATATGTTCACATTTTGATTTTTATTTCTGAGTGATGGTAAAAAACTAACCATTTGGGAGGGAGATTTCGTATCCATAGAATATACGAAAAAAGATATTAAACGTAGTTTTAAATTGACGCTCACTTCACGTTTTTGCTTTTGTCTTTTATTTCTTGGTTTTTAAAATATAAAATTGTTATATTTTACATTTATAATTTTTTTTTAAGTTTTTACCATTTTTTTTTGCTTTCTGTGTCAAAATTTTTTTTTGTTTTTTTTTTTCCACTACTATTCAGTTTAAATTTACCTAGTCTGAGAAGTAACAGTGCGTTTATAACTATGTATATAAGATAATTATATTTTTTTTTAATTTAAGCATAAAGTTATATAAAAATAAAAAAATATAAAACTAAACAAAAATTAAAAATCAAGAAAAAAAAATACAACACGTACATATATTTTTGAATCGAATAGTGGGTACATGAAATTTTACTGTTATATTGATCATATATAAGTACATGGATAACTGCAATTATTCGAAACTAACAAACAACGGAAATCAAAAATACTATTTATTAAAAAAATTTGAATTTTAAAATATGTGAAACATGATATTAAAAAACTTTTTTAACGGTTTTATAATTTATTTAAAATACTTTTAATTCATGATATTATTAGCATTTCATATTTTAAATACGATTTGCTATTTAATAAAAAAACTGTTTTAAAACATTAAGCCACATTCCATATACATATATATATATGTATGTATATGCGTGTATAATTTATTTTCAAAAAATTACAACAGGAAAGAGATTATAAAAAATATATTATGATGCGCACATGCATTCAAACGTACATACATATTCTTGTTCAGCGAATGTTATAACTATACTTATAATATATCGAATTATGTATGTGTTGATTTGTAAATTTCAAAATGTATTACATATTTATACATATGTTTGTGTATAAACATATATGCACATATTCATGTATTATATAGCATAAATATTCCCAAATAATTATGTAGACACATATGTATGTATGCATGTATAAAAACATGGTGTGAAACTGCAATTGCCAAATCTTGTATTTTATACACATACGTTTTACTACATACATACATATGCGGGTATAAAATTTTATACGCCTTTTTATTTTGCTAGCAAAGTATGTCTATAATACATAAGTATATTTACTTCCCACAATTAGTTAGATTCTTTTTACTGAACTTCCTAAAATTTCGAATATATTTTGATAAATTTCAAAAAATAGATACCTATAATAAGATAGGAAACAAATTTAAGAAGAACCATAAAAAAAGTTTTTTAAAAAATAAAAGTCCTTCATTCAAGTGTATATATGTACATGTAAATACATATACTGTGAGTGCCAAAAGTAATTGTACACTTATAGATTGTAATTTTAAAGTTCAATATTTTAAAGTTTAAAATAATGGTTTTTTACAAAATCTGGTTTAACAAAAATTTAATTTAATTCATTATTAACAAAAACAAGTATGTATATACATATTTTAAGCCTATTCATTTAGTACACATTAGTATGTACGTACTAAAAATACAATTATACTAGACACATATAATTATTAATTTAAAAGAAATTTAAATTTTAATGTAAAAAACTTGCTCTTAATGAGAAAAACTCTCATATCTTGGGCATCAAAACTCCTTAACATTGTATAAAATATTTGAAAAAGTTATGAAAAATTAATTACGAAAAAATTTGTTAGATATCAATAACGTATATTTTCTCTTTCATAATAATTGTGGAACATGACATATTTAGAAAAAAGGAATATAGTTTTTAATTCATTTAACTGCAAGGTTTTTTGTATGATGGTTTTTCTAAAAATTTGCTTTAGGTTTCTGTAAGATGATAGTGAAATTACTTATAATATAGATATACTTTCATTGTCAGTCTACATTTGCATTTATGAATGCAAATACGAATAATATTGTGCATGAACATTGAAAAATATTGGTGATTATATACATACATATTTATACATATACATACACATACATATTTGTATGTATGTATGTATATACATACATACATACATACATACATATACTAATGTAATCTGCACGTAAATGCGAGCTGGTTTAGTACCCTTAATCAGCCTAGCACGCATTTCGATATATGACATATGCAAATATGGAAATATACATACATATACATATATATATGTACTCATATGCATGGATATTTTATTTACGGTATTTGTTTACAGCCATTAATTAATAAAATTTTCCTGTTTTCTTCAATTTAATTAAATTTTTTGATTTTGAATTCTACAATCCTTGGAAAACTTTTTTCGACTTTATTAAGCTATGTAGTAAACACGTTATATATTTACACCGTACAAGTTATCATATTTAGTTATTTAATAAAACTAATATTTTTCATAATAATTTGCTCTACTGTGATAATTAAAAACAAAAAAAGCAAGAGAAAACTACTAAAATATTTATGTGAAATTTTTTATTTAAAACAATAATAAACAAAAAGCAAGTTTCTAACAATAATTTGAAACTCATTAAAAATTTAAATTAAACAAGTATTTTAGAGTGGTAATCCAATAAAATAGTTTTTTTTTTCATAAATTTAACTTCATTATTCAAAATTTATGTACCTAATTATGTGCCAATGTATTACTTGCAGGTTTTTTTTTTAATTTACCTTAACTTGGATAATATAACCGTTTAAAGAAAAATATTTATAAAATATCACCGAACAAGAAAGAACTGCGAAACAAAAGAAAAGAAAAATGGTAAAAATATGAATAAATGTACATTTTACATATATAATATATAGTTTATGTACATATGTAATTACATACATATGTACTTGTGTTCATAAATATTTACAATATTTTAAAAAATCAAACAGCCCTATCATGAATTCCCCTCGTAGAATTCTACGAATTACGAGCTTAGCTACGACGTAGACTTTTAAATGATCACAATCACAAATATCTTTCATAGAAATTATGAATCAGCAATGGCAACACAATTTTTCGGAATATCAAAATCAGTTTTTTATTTGAACTGTCAAATGTTTATTTACGTTTTTTGTTGCTATTTGAGTACAAAACTTTTATAAAATAGGAGTTTGCAGTTATTTTTGTTTTTAAGTTTTTTTGAAAAGTAAAGAAAAATTTTTTTCAATTATGAATTCATTGCGTTTCATGGTAGCAGTTTTAAAAGAACTCAAATTCAAACAAAACAACCATTACCTTTAAATTGCTTGTCATGTGTAAGTATTTCTTTTGCAGACCATTGAGGGTTATTTTAACTACGAAAGTAATTTATGATTACTCTATTACCAATATTCGAAATAGAATATTAGTAACCCGGAATTGAGAATATGAACTTCGTAATTTTCCGAATTTCGCAGCTACGAACGAAATTCATGATAGGGCTGAAAGCAACAAACATTACTTAAAAATTTAAATGTAATTATTGTAAATATTCTAAGATCAATTAGTTAAACGTCAATATATTATGTCCATGATACATATATTATATATGCATGAATAGTCTTATTTCAGCGACAACAAAAAACAAAATAATGCAAGCATAAATAACACCTGTCCAAATAAAATAAATATTACCATGTATAAAAAGTTGTAATAGCAAATACTTTTTATTTCTTATTAAATAAGGCTGTATACTGTTTTAGTCTTTTTTAGTAGTCCAACAAATTTTGGACTACTAAAAAAGATTAATTTTCATGCTAACAAAAATTTTTTTGTTAGCATGAAAATTAATCCTGCCAATAATTAGAAATCGATTTAGCCTAAAATATAGTTCAATACCTATAATTATAAAGTAACGATGGAGAAATCAATGTTAGTTAATATTTTAATTATTGTAAATAAATTTATTGTAAATAAATTAAAAATTGTTACGTTTCAATTAAAATATAGGTACTGAATTTTGATTTCATTTTCGAGTTTAAAATTCATAACATAATATCTGATATATTATTTCTTTCGAAAAGAAAATCATTAATTTATGTAATTAATGTATATACATAAATTGATCCCCTTACGAGACAAATGAAGTTGGGTCAAACAAGTGGTTTGTGATGTAACATTTTTCCCTTCAGCAAGTGAGAATGCAGCCTTTGAAAACCATTCAGCTATACATTACATTATTAAAATTACTTTCATTCATATACAAATATATTTGACAGATTGCATACATTTAGGATGTGCAATGTATGCAATATTTGAAATAAAACGACAAAAAAAAAATTGAAATTTTTAGGGTTTTGAGGGGTTATAACTTTTAGAGGGCGGATAGGTAATTGCTGCTACGGAAATATATTTGAGCAGTAAATTTGCTTCTACGGAAATATGTTCGAAATAAAACTCTAGGTACATATGAAATTCTTCTATTTTCAAGAGTTCAGAAGTTTTGTGAAGTTGCACGAAACGACGGACGTATAGAGTGAAACAAAAAATCACTTTTTTCAAAAATTTTTTTTAGAAAAGTGTTAAAAAATAAAAAAAACCCCAGTTTAATTATTTTAACAAATAGACTCAAGTCTATCTTTAAAATAGCTCGGTTAAAAATAGCAGAGTTATTTTTTAATAACAATTTGTCAAAAAAATAAAATAAGCATGTTCACGAAAAAGCTTATTGTTTTTTACTAAAATAAGTATGTAGGTTAAAATTTAATACGGTCTTGTGATGGAATGTTAAGAATGTTGATTTTCTTTTAACTTGAATTTTGAAATATTTTCGCTTCTAAATTTTAATAGGTTTGATTTCTCACTTCTATTTTGTCTTCACATTATGAAAATGACACGACCATACAAACTTTTTTCTTAAATGTCATATACGTACTCGTACATACAATTTCAAAAGTTATGAATTTAGCTTTAGCGAAATGATAAGTGTAATTTTCTTTATTATTTTAATATTTTGTTTTTGTGAAAATAATTTTTATTCTCCATTTTTATTCCAATTATTCTGTCAAAAAATTTTTCCTATAAACGTTCAGACTACAACGAAGAGCTTGTTATTCTCGAATAACATGTTATGAATAGTGTTTAACTACAAATTTCGCATGGAAAAAATCTGTCAAAGTAAAACATGTTTTCCAAGATAACATATTTTCCTCTTGTGAATCATTTATTTTTTGAAATTATTTCTTAAATTAAATTACGTTTTGAAAGAAACTCAAAAAAATTTCTAAAAAATTTTTAAATCTATAATCATCTTTAATAAATTGAAATCCAAATCTTCTTCTTCTTCTTTTTCTTTATTATAAGCATAGTTGCTTGTTTTTCTACACGCTAGTCGTTCAATTACAGTTTTTTTTAAAAAAATTATGGAAGTTATAAAAATGTAGTTAAAACGTTATGTTAATGGTTAAGTTAATTAAGTGTATAGTTATTTGTTTGATAGTGAAATTATAGATTGAAATGAAAGATGCAATTTCCTAAAGTTCCGTTGATGTAGATATCCAGCTTTGAGCCCATCGTTTCGGCGGTCTGCCTGGTAGACGTCTTCCAAATGGTTTATTATCTCTGGCTATTTTAATAAGTTGGTTTTGAACCTCAGTATTTCTTACACGTTCTAGTCTGGTCTTTCCTACAATTGCTCTTAGAGTATTCATCTCCGCCGTACGTAGTAGCTGTTTTCGTACTCGTTTCAGCTCTAGTTTCAGATGCATACGTAAGTATAGGTCTGACAACCGTCTTATATATCTTTGTTTTGCTTTTGACGCCCAAATATTTATTTCTCCATACAGTATCGGCCAAGAAACCTGATACACGTGCTCCTCTCATACTGCTTTCTCTTACTTCTCTTACCGTGTTGCGTTCACTTGTTATTTCGACCCCCAGATATTTAAACTTCATTACTTGTTCAATCATTTTTGTTTCTATTTCGAGTTTACATCTAATAGGTTCCTTGGAAATAACTAAAGATTTTGTTTTTTCTATCGAGACCTCCATATTGTACTTTTTTGCAGTAACGACGAATTTATGAAGAAGCCTTTGTAGATAATTTTCTGTTTTGGCGATCAGGATTGCATCATCTGCATAGCACACAATTGATATATTATTATCACCCATTTGATAGCCCGTTAGGTTGTCCACCTCTTCGATTATTTTATCCATAACGAGATTAAATAATATAGGGCTTAGTGAATCTCCTTGACGGATACCTGTCTTGCAGTTGATTTCGTCTCCCAATTTTCCATCAACCTGTATTCTAGTTTTGCATTCAGTATTTAAATCTTTAACAACTTCTATTACATCTAAAGGCACATTTTTTTCATGAAAGATGTTTAGTACTCGTACGTCTTGCAATCTTACTCGATCGAAAGCCTTGACAAGATCTACGAAGCACATGAAAGCCGGGACGTTATATTCGATAGATTTTTCTGCTATTTGTCGAACTATAAAAATGGCGTCCGTTGTCGATCGGTTGGCTCTAAAACCCTGTTGTTCTTCTCGAGTTGTGACGTATGAGGCCATTTTGTCTATAATTACTTTTGACAGGAGCTTCTGTGAGGAAGACAAAAGTGTTATACCACGATAATTTTTAGGGTCGTTCTTGTTACCCTTTTTAAAAATCGGTATGGTTACGCTTCCCTTCCATTCAACGGGTACCTTATTAGTTGTAAAGATAATTTGGAACAGCTTTACTAGTTCGGTTTGCAGAGACTCACCACCATACTTCAGCATTTCGTTAGTAATGCGGTCGATGCCAGGAGCTTTTCTATTCTTCAGTTTAGTTATTGCATTATCTAAATTATGATATTCTACTGTAGCGCGCTCTATATTGTTCGTGATAAACTGCTCGCTTGATGATTCTTCTGAGGTGTCTTGCTTATACAATATCTGAAAGAAATCCATCCATCTTCTATTGCTAATGGGGTTTATTTTGACAGTTTCGCTTACTTCAGATTTTCTATTGCGCAACATTTTCCACACTTTTTTCTGAGCTCCGTACATGTCGTTTTCCATATCTTTAGTTAATCTTTCCCAGTACGACTCTTTGATTTCTCTTATTTTTCTGTTTGCCTCATTTCTGATACGAATGTAAGACTGCTTATCTTCTAGCGTTCTGGTGGTTTTATAACGCAGATACGATTGCTTCTTCTCTTTAGCAGTTCGTTTGACCTCTTCTGTGAACCATGGGGTTTTATAGTTAGTTGTTTTTCTTGCTCTAACAGTTCTTCTACCTAGCGCTTCACCTGCTGCACTCATTATGTTATTTTTCAGTCTTTCCCACGCTTGATCTGGATTATCTGTTTCAACTATTGGGTTATCGTGTGTTTTATCATTGAGTCTTCGTTGGTAAAAGTATTTAGTACTTTCATTCTGGAATGATTCGACGTTAAACTTTTCAATTGTGTCATGGCTATTGTTAGGACACAGATTGTACTTCAATCGAATTTTACCGAGAACTAGTGCATGGTCATTGCCAAATCTAAATATATTTCAAAATTCAAAAATAACATGAATACCAAATACAAAAATATTTCTTCAAAATTTTCAAATAAACAAAATGTCAAACATAACAAATTTTCTGTGAAATGAAAACAGTTTACGAGTATGTAGTGTGAATCAAATTTTCTTAAGATAGTGATTGAAATTTCGAATAAAATAATATAAGAAAATCTTTTTAAAAAAACAGCCCCGCTACCAAATGTTAAAAAGTAAATTTCGAACATACATACGTCCAATGAAAACTAATTCAAAAAATTTGATTGGAAAGTTGTGCTAAAAATTTTGTTTGAAGATTCTTA